CAGGGCAATAAAGTTATAAATATCTTATTATGCTTGATAGTAAATTTGTATGTTAAAATCTACTCCAGATAGTATTACCTTCTTTTGACCACTGTTCATATAGGTTTCTTGCAGGAACATAACTAATTGTAAACATAGCTCAGTATCAAGCAAAGAAGCAGAAATTGATAGCGAATCAGACAGGTGCAAAGAACAAAATACCAACATGGTTTACTACAAACCAGTTACATAAAAATTCCACAATTAATCTCCTCATAAATATGGAACAGTATAACCAAACAAGTATGAAATTTAGAATTTTGTTTTGAGTGGATATCTAAAAAAAAAAAATAGAATCTTAATATATGCAGCTTTAAAACACTGTATTCATTTTGAAATTCTGCCTGGTGCAACACATCAAAGTAATTTAAAAAACCAAGTTTGTTGAGTAAGAATAGGCTTGCAGCATAATTTGAAGCTCAAGCATGGGCCCTGATGAACAGCTGTAGGGAAAAAAAAGTTCTCAAAGGCAACGACCACCACAGATATGTTTTTCACTATTGTAACACACCATAGGAAAAGCAGCAGCCTCTTAAATAACTGGATTCTACATTATACAATAATTAAACACCCTTCACATAGGCAAATGTCCTCTATTTCTAAATCTACTTAATAATCACTTTCTTCTATTCAACATCTTTCCCATGATTATATGTATAAATGCTAAGAAAAATGCCTTAGCCACAATTTAGTTGGTTATGAGTAGATTTTAATATCTAATTAAGATGGGTCATTATTTCAAAGAGACACCACTGGAGATTAACCAAATGATAGAATATATGGCATCGACTCAATTGGCAGCAGCATTTCCTTTGGGTCTAGAACAAGGTAATATCCTATGCAAGAGTTAAAATGCTTTGATCCACTCTGTCATCGCAAAGAATGTCTTTTATTAATGCAACAGAGATGCTTGCCAGGGTTTTCTTATCACCAGAATCAATGCTGCTACAGGTGCTGTGTTTGAGATGTGACCTAACACTCAGGTTCTGTTTTTGTTCACTGTGGAGCCCTTTTTACAAGAAAGAAGGTAACAGCTATGCAGACTTGGCCACCTAACTTTTCATTACTATTTCTATTGAAGAGTTTCCTTCTCTCCTGTCATATTGCTGAGCTCATTTCAGGGGTACTCACATTTCTCTACTCCCTCTGCATCAGCAGCAGCCATATAACTCCTATAAATAGGACTTGATCCTGAAGGTCCTACTCATAGATGTAAATGTATGTAAGTGCCTGATGAGACTGGTACTGTCTAATAAGTTTGTAAAACACACAGACATTATGGAACTGTAACATATTATTATAAAACATTTACATACTCAAAGACTGCGAAACAATAGGATTTCCTTACTATGACATATTTCCCTCCTACACTTGCAAGCAAAGGAAATTAACATATCAGCATACTTCATACTTTTAATGTAACATCAGCTCTTTAATGCAGTTTATAAAACACAACAATACTAAGTAGTCAATCTCAGCAATAAGTTAGAACAAGTGCAAAAGAAGTTCCTTACTAAAATCATCTGACATATGGATTGACTTTTCAAATAAGACTTAATATGATTGCCATTTATAAATCAAAATCAATTGACATGATAGGCTATAAACCTGGAACTTGATCTTGCACTGGTGAAATAAAAGGGAAATTCCTTCTACTTTTGACTTGAGAATGTTAAAACCAAGTCTCTGAATAGGCAAGGCCTTGGAGATATTACTGTATTCAGTATGTTACCATTATTCTCTCTTAATCACAGCTCCAGTTACTAAAACCTAAGTAATGAGAATGGATGGATCTTCAGTTTGTACATTTTGTGTTGTCACACATCGGAAAGCACTGGTTTGTCAGGGAAGTGGAGTAACTACAGGAACCCCTAACTTTCTGTCAGACTAACAGCATGGTACAAGACAGTGCAGCAGCCACGCGGCTCCTCCCCTTGACCCAGAAGCTTCCAGATGTTTCTGTTTTCAAAGTTAATAGCTATTGAGATGATTACCTTAAACATTTTAACATTTTAAAGGTTATACTAAAATTGTGGTTATTTTATTCTTAAAAATCTTCCACACAACACACCAGTTAAAGCATAAAACATTTGCACATTCTGTAATAAACCAAGTAGGCTATGGAAGAGAGGTGTTTACAGCCCCTTTCATGTGTCAATAAATGTACAATCACTATTCAAAAGCAAAGTTTCTGAACTAGTAGTTCTTATAAATGGTCATATTCATTTGAGATCTAGAACTGCTTTTTGTTTTACTTCAAATATTTAATCTAGTACCTCTTCCTCAACTTCCTGTTCCACTTTAAGTTTAAAGCCTGATTCAGCCACATTGAAACTGAAGGGAGTTTGGCAATTAATGTCCTGAACCTCATCCCCATTACTCTAACAACTGCCCTCCCCATTTTCCTCCTGTTTATATCCAACCTCTGCGTCCTTACATTTCTGTTTCTTCATGTGGGTATCACCTACATTTGCCTCTGCCTGCTATTTCCTCTGCATTGTCATTTCTCTCTTTAAAAAAAGCTTAACGAAAGTGAAACCATACAGAGGTTCGAATAATCTTGTGATGTGAGGATAGGAGAGGAGAGTAGACCAATGGTTTTCAATCCATTTTTGGACTCTTGGAGCCCTACAAAGTTTTCCTTTACAGGCAGTATCCAGCCACGAATTTAAATCTACTGACAATATGGTGGGTTGGGGATTTCACTATTAATCAGCTGACATGGGCCTCTCAAAAACAGTCTGTGGAGTCCCACAGGCTCCTATATCGAAAGTTAAAGACCACTGAACTAGATCTTGAGTTATGGAAGGGACTTCTCTAATTCTGTGATGCACCCATATTACGTTAAGTAATTTTACACTGTTTACCTGTTCAGAGACATCATAAAGCACTAAATCACACGGAACTTTGTATTTCCACACTGATGCGTAAATTCAAAATTTTCTATTATAAATAAGCTAACAATGATTTATTTGTAACAAACAACAAAAATCTTTCCTAACAACCCACATGCATGAAATTTACATTTCAAAGAAATTTCAAGCAACTGCTAATAAATCTTGGTTAGAATGATGCTTTTAAGAAACTTATTTGTACAAAAAAAAACACCTTAAAAAATCATTCTTAACTAAGTGCAGAATCTTGATTATCTCAACTCCAGCTCCTAATAACCTCAAGCCATAAAAAAGCCTCAACATAAAGAATGAGGTTCATTTCTACGTTACAGAACAAGAAAAAAAAAATATTGCTAGCACTTACATACAGCTGAGCCTATCCCTTAAACAAGACATAGGACCATAGGACAACCTCTGTCAGGGACTGCACTTGTGTTGTAGACTACATGTTCAAAACAGTTACTATACAATTTGAATCACTGGGTTTGGGTGACGGGTGCAGTTGGGGGCAGTTTTTAGTTTTTTAAAGAATAAACTCTTGGAAAACATTCAGGATTTACCAAAGCAAATTCAAGATCATCTCTGTAAGATCACTGGCCAAAAACTTTAGACATTTATTATAAATACCACTGAAAAGAGTCAGCTAGAAAACATCACTTTATATTATTTTAATCTATTATTTTAAAGGCAGGCAGCATAAGCATTCGGTGGGCAGAGAGCAAAACCCTTACCTGCCTCTCAACAAGCTGATACCTTCACCACCAGACTATAGCTGTGTTTTCTCTCTACCTTTTTTTGTATTCCCTTCTCTCAGATTCAATAGGAGAAATGTAAGATAGCTCCCATCTCAGCCTTCCTAGAAGACTTGTTCAAGAGAAAGCAAGGTCTAGCATGAAATGATAGCAGCAGATGCATAACTGCTCAGCCTGACTCACACAACTTGCAAGCCTAAATTCCAAGCCAGACAACACTAACAACAAAAAGTTATAGCTTCTTAGACCCCCAAGTAAATCTGTATTCTGTCGCAGCACCTTACAGGGAGGGAATGGTTCCTTTCAAACTACCCCTAGAATTCACACCTCCTTCTTGAAAAAGCATTGTAACTACCAGAAAAGTACCTCCCAAACTCTCCATGAAACCACAATAAAGCAGCCTAAAGAAGCACAATAAACAAAGTTTTCAGCAGAACTAAATTTTAAACAACAGTGTTTTGTGGTGGTTCTGGAGATCTATTGGCTTATGCTATCATTCAAAATTATATGCAAAGCAGTAGTTTGTACAAAAGTCGTGATTTAGACACCTTAAGCTAAAATAATTTCAGGCTCGGAACTCCAGTATCAAATGAATACCTGAATCAGGGATGCCATTAGATGCCCAACTCTAAAAAGAATAAAGCAATTTCTGATACGTCTCATCTTAAATATTCTTTTAACAGCCACCTTGGGAGTCTCCCCTCTCTGCATAATGCCTAAAGTAAACTCTACTTTTAGCATTTCACTTTCCCCATGTATTATTCACAAAGTTTACACACCAGAGTCCCTTTGTACAGGTGGATCCCAAGCTTTATTACTATTTGAAAACCATCATGAACCCTTCTGGAATTAAAAATAAAAGGAGTAGCTTGGCCTAATTTCAAACACTTGGCCCTACAGCCACTTGATGTACTGATCTTGAGGGAGGTCAGATAAAGTAGAAGTTAATTTGTTTCTTATTTAGCATATTGACAGCTACAGGTAAGGTCACACAAATTTATCTTCAAGCTTTTAATTTATAAGCAAGTGATGAACAACAGGAAAAAGTGTTTATAACTATCTCACTGCTGAAAAACAGCACTATCAAGTGGCAGCGATGAAAGTGTTTTAACAAGATTATTATTGCCAACAATATGACAAATTAAGTCTCCCGAACGACAAAATGGTAGTAAGACAAAAAATAATCTAGCTAGTATGTCAGCTCCAGATATATTGGAAATGCTTAAATACACACGAAGCTAGTAAAATTCAGTCCTGAAAAGACATCTTATCTCTGAGGGGCTGGGTATTCTTTTTGGATGAGGAACACACTTACCCAGATTTCAAGTCTGTAATCCGTAAACAATTAGTAGCATCCAGTCCTACTTTTCCATTTCTGACCACACTGGAAATGAAGGGTGAGAGCGCTGGAGAAATTCTGTTCAAGGCAACTTCAGGTGACATTTTAGTATGTTCCTCTTACGTTTTGTCTTGAGCTGCACAGGGATGGTAAGGGGAAAAAAAAAAATAAAAAAATATTCTACTTATTTGATGTAAGTTCACATGGACTCTGCAAACATCAAAGGAAAAAAGCTAAACATGCAAACAATCAGGAATGTAGAGTAACTGAAGTGTGCACAGGTTTATAAAGAAAAAATAAACACAGGTAATTTTTTTCCTCCTACCTCTGCAATATTCAATGAAGCCCATTTATTCAACGTCAACATAAAAACAGACTTACGTCCTAGGCTCCTTTAATTAAAATCCTATCCCTACGAGAAAGAGAAATAAAATTGAAGGCCAGTCTGACACTTTACAGCCTAGCCCTTCTTGTGAGCATTTCCATTAGGAGTCTATAATTGATAAGCCACATTTGTTCTGCTTCCGCTGAAATCAATGGGGCTTACATTACTGATTGCAATGGGACCAAGGGTTTGATTATCTCTCTGTATTCTCATCTGTAATTTCTAATACCACTAGCATAACCATAATCAGTATTATTTTTACATTACTTCATTAGGTAGCTATTTACAGCATTTCACAATGCCTTTTAAAGGCTAACGCTGCTTTTCTTTCAGCAGTATCACCATATTCTTTGAAAGGCATCTTCATTGAAAAAACAGATCAGGAAGCTGATGTACATCCATTTTAAGCCCAGCTTTTTCAGGAGTGTTTGCAATTGTGTGACCTTACGCTAAATCAGTTAGGCCACTAAGTTAGCACACTTTAAGAACCTGATGCTTTTTAGCTGAAATGCAGAAACTGAGCATGCACACATTTTAATTCGTTGCACCACAAAAAGGCTAGAGAATGTGGATAACAACAGACTGTGTTAGGAGAAATAGGAGAGAAAGGTAAGTAACCTATTAAAAAGCTAACTCAACATATTCAATCAGATTCTTAGGCACAGTTCCATCTGAAAATTAACTGAACTACACAGTTTTAGAAAACAAAGCCATAAATGACTCAAGGTAACATAAACATGCCACTGACAAGTGGGGCAGAAGAGCTCATACTTAAGGTCTGACCATTAGAAGATATTTTTAAAAACATCCATTTAATTGATAAACACCAATACATACTGTATTTACCTCCTTACAAAATGCTGCATATGGACTGCTGTATTAATAAGTGTTCTATAAAGAGAGTGTGAACAACTCAAGGCAATAGTTGCAATTTTCTGTTGTTACTAACATGCTTGTTTACAAGCACTACTTATTAACTAATGGATATTCTACAAACTGATAATTCCCTGTAACTGATAGCAACATCAAAGTTAACACATTTTGTTCTCGTGAAAGTCATTCACACTGAAATAGTATGAAGCAGTGTTCAAGAAAGAGTATTTATCCTAGCTATTCAGAATGTATCTGAATAAAGCAAAGGCCAGGCACTTTAAGGCAAACAAAAGACTAATAAAGTAAGACTTCCTAAAAACAGTAATTATCTTTAATACACTGGTTCTTACATTTTATGGCAGCAAAGAAGCTGAAGACTAAATATCCGTGTCCTAACATATAATGTGTTCTCTACATGTATGATTTGCCGTAATTGACAATGGGCAACAACTTAAGTTTGCTTAGCAAACACCTACAGCAATTTAAGATGCTACCTCCTGGTTGTTACTTTTCTACCAAAAATTACTGCCTTTATCCTTCCCCAGAGGAACCAAGAGAACACAAGCCCATACTTGACCTACTTCAACGCAAAGTCCAATGGCTTAGATTGAACAGCTAATAAAAATGAGTTTAAAATGATACTTTGCACAAGAGTGGCTATAACAGGGCACAAACTTCAGTCTGCCAGCTCTGCTGTAGGGAGAGTAATTTCAAGCAGAGGGACAGCTGGACTGGTGAAGGCAAGAATTTCTTAAACTATGAAAAACAAGCTATCCTTCTAGCAATCTTAAAGACATACACAAAGATTTCAGAATTGGTTCTGATAATGACACATTTTAAGAGGACTGTGTTATGAGGGTAGAATTGTGAGACATACGAGATACACGTGGTGATCAAAGTTGAACAGATCCACCTTCCAAAAGGAATGGCAGGACGAGATTCCTTATCTTTTTGTTAATAAAATATGCAGATACTGTCAAAATGAGATGTAAATGACTGTTAGGCATTTTTCTGGTTTTATTGCATCATTTCTTTAAGATCCACAATACCTTCTACATAACAGGCCAGACACACAATACTTAAAAGGTCACTATCAATTAAACTCCCCGATTTATTTTGTAAACAGAGATCTTTACAAACTATAACACAATTAGTACGGTTTTCATAGGTTTCAGTTGTCATATACATATTTTTTCCCCAGCTTAATTTTCCCACAGTACTGCAAACAGAACACAAACAAACTCAAGGGAATTAACAAAAACAAAATTCACTAGACTGTTTCCCTCCCAAAACAAAACACTGGGAAGAAGTAAACAAAGCAATAGTTGAACGCTTTTAGATTCAGCAGCCTATCATTACGACTTCAGGCAAATGTAACATATGCTTCACAGTAACCATAAAATCCCGGGCACTGCTTTGGGCACCAGAGCGTCCGGGTGCGAGATACTCTGCTCCTCCACCACCGGTAATAACATTATGGGCATTAAGGGAAGCTGTAAGGCGGCAAAGGTGAATGTTGTGACAGAGGCCTTCAAGGGAGCCCCTCCTGCCTAACCCCCCCGGCTCGGCAACCCGGTTTTGTGGTTTTCACTTTGAGGGCGGCCGTGACAGGTGCCTGGGTGTGGGGAGAAGAGGGGACCCACGTCCACCTCCTGCCCCCGCGCCCGACAGCCCGGAATGCGACCGGCGATGCGGAGCCCCGGGTAACCCCCCAAGCTGCCTCAGCCTCGCCACGGGAGGACGCACACCG